CGGCTACAACCATCACCTGACGTGTACGACTGCGGAGAACGATTGACCGTAAGTCCTGTTGCACCACAGGTCCAGTATAGGGGGCATCGTTCAGCGAAATCCCAGAAGACGTCTTGCACGAAGTATCGAAGACCACTCTTACCTTGGTCGTGGTGCTTGACTCCTTGATTACAGGATGATGTGGCAGGAAACATCGTTTGACTGTCCCCTCCTCATTAACGTCCACTCTTCTCATGTGACCGAGCTCGAAATATTCGGTCATGAAGTTGAAGTATTGCTTCTGAAGGTCTGGATCCTTTTCCAGTCGCCGTTCCACAGCTCGAAGACGTCGTAGCGCGATGTCTCTCGATTCGCTTAGTTCCGCTAAAACATTGTCATTCTTAGGGAGAGTAACGGTGTATCGGCCATCCGAATTCCGTTCGACTGTGCGCTCGAATTGCTCTTCGCAGCGCGTCTCGTTCGGAGATAACTTGCTGACGGCTCCCACTTCCTCGCAGGACCAAAAACATGCTATTAGCTCCTCCAGATTGCTCGATACCGACATGTTGCATGAGTATCTCGCACCATGATTTGATGCAGCGACCTCGCCTGTCACTATCCATCCGAAAACTGATTCGGTGAGTACTGGCAGACCGGTTCCCAGTGGAATCTCCCTTCCTGGGAAGAAGCAGAAGAAAGCTTGGATGTACGACGAGACTCGAGACTTGATGACGGCTTGAATCTTTCGCTTGACCCTCGTTCCGGATTGCCCGATGCCCAATATTGAAATATCGACCTTCTGGCTAGCAACCTTCATCAATTGACTCAGACTTTCAGAAATGAAGTTGCATTCCGACCCGGAATCTAATAGCGCACGTGCCGGATAGCGAGAACCCTGACGGTCCTCGATCACAACAACTGCGATGTCGTAAGCTGCACCGTGTTTGACGATGCTGTCTCGACCGATGCTGCATTCACTGCCTAGGGATCAGAACTCGAGTCGTTCCGGTTGCCACTTTTACCCGAATTGGCCTTCTCGAGTGATTCCCTCCTACTGCTTCTCCCTTCGCCCTTGAAGCACAGCAGTGTGTGGTGTCGAGCCTTGCAGTTGCGACACGAGAACTTTGACGAGCAATCTCGAGCTAGATGTCCTCGCTTGAGACAGTTTCGGCAGAGTGACTGTGCTCGTAGAAACGACTCCCTGCTGGACAGCGACATTTTCAGGAAGGCTGGACACGTATGTAGTCCATGTACCTCCGTTTACGATGGGCACTTAGCGGTATTCCAATATACGGCGTTGTGGCTGACCTTCGGTGAAAACGACTTCCGTTTGGGTTGTTGCGTCTCGTTTTTGAGTTCTGCCTTCGCTGGTAGAGACTCGAGGATTTGAATTCTCCGTTGTAGGAACTCCTGCAAGCCCTGTAGAGTGTCTTGCTCCTTAGCGGAAGTGTGCTCCTCCCAGCCACGTCGAGTGACTGGATCCAGACGAGAACTCTTGACTTGATATCCAATATCTGAATCGCACGGTCGAATCCATCAGCCAATCTGTGGAGATCCGTGACCGATTCCTTGGCGAGTGAAGGTAGTTTGACCAGCGCTTGTACCTGTTTCCTCTTTAGTAGCTTACTGTTGTTTAAACGTTTTAGCCACGACTCCCAAGCTATTTTATAATTGGCGCTAGTTATCTTTAACGGATCGACTAGCGCCTTAGCTTCGCCTGCTAAGCAACCTTTCAAATAGTGAAATTTCTCCACATCCGGAAGTTCTGCCTTCTCATGGATCAAGGACGTGTAGAGATCCCTGAAACTCAGCCAGTCATCGATGTCTCCGTCGAAAGTCTGTAGCTTGATTTGCGGCAGACGTACACGGTCCTTTGTACCATGTGTACTGGCGGCGTCCGCACTCCCTGTTGACTGGTTTAGTGCTGATTCTTCCTGGAACTTCTTGGCCTTCTCCATCAAGAACGATTTCGCATCGTAGTAGCGATTCTCGAACTCCAGTTGCTCCTTTTCGACACCTTCTTGCTCTTCGTAGTCCTCATGCGATTCGATCTCCCAAGAAGTCTCACTAATTTGCTCCCACAACAAATCTATACGTTCAAGGCGGACATTGACCTGACTAGCTGTTGTACCCTCCTTATAATACCTAACGAACTGACTAATGTTGTTTAACGACGCTCGAAGACCCTTGAGTTTTGACCTCAACACCTTCAAGGAGTCGGTAGACCTAGTAATCTTCGTTGACATGGTTGTTGTTGGAGAATCACGGTATGGAAACGAAGAACCAAAAGTCAGTCGTAGGTTGGTATGTACTGTTCAACTCACCTGTGAGAAGAGCCAGTGGTGCTACCAAAGCCAGATAGCAGTAAATTCCAAAACTGTACACCTAGAAATGTTTGATCGGGAATCTCGGATTTCAATTCGAGCCAGTGAAGAGCGAAGGAGTGGAAAAGCGAATGTAGTAACCAATATTTGAGCTTCGGCTGAACATATACCGTTCGGCTTACCTGTGCAAATGACAGTTTGTGCCGACAGCCGAATCCAAATTGCCTCAAAATCACGATAACTATCCTTTCGAACCACATAACCTATAGCTAATACCGTAGTAGGCTGTGTATAAAAGAAAATGATTTACTTAGTTTGACAGTTGCACCATGACGAAGTGGCAGCGTATTCGTGATTTGTCCCACGCGCGAATGTGGCACAGGCATTTCAATCGCCGTGGGAGTGTCCCGGTGGACCTTCAAAAGGGTTTTAGACCGAGAAAAGAAAGGACAACTATCCGCGAAGGTGGCCACAGGTCGTCCGAGGTCAGCTCGGGTTCCGAGGGTTATCGCCAGGCTTGCTTAAACTCCTCAAACTCACCGGAGGTTTTAAAACACTCATGTCCTGCGAGTTTAGCCAGCCCTCACCTCGAGTGAGTGGCGGCAGGAATATGGAAGAAGTAATCAAAAACTCCTCGAGAGAGAGGGAGAGTGAACTTCAGCGAGAGGATGATTTGACGTGAAGGGCGCTTTGCGAGACTCCGGATGACTTTTTTGTTTGACGCAAGAAGCTCAGAGTTCACCCAGATTGAGAGTAAGAGCGTGTGATAGAAAACATGAACATGAATGGCAGCAAACCTCACTCTCATTTTATCCCTCTTCGCTCACAAGCTCTGAAGCTCAGTGGAATAATTTGGCAGTAGGCATTCTACTCCTCAGAAAAATGCTACGCTCGGCTCATTTCAAACTCGCGAGTGAGGCTCCATCAAGCCTGGTTATCGCTGCTATCAAAAGGAAGATTCGGGTGAATCCAGTGCGTTCAATAAGGAAAATGGCAAAGCAACACGGGATCAGTGACTTTACAGCACGGAAGATCGTAAAGGAAGATTGCGGGGCGAAGTCGAAGGCACGGAAAAAAATTCATATGATTACCAACCGCATCCGGGAGCTACGAGTCGAACGATGCAAGAAAATATTGAACTTCCTTAAGCGAAAAAATCCGGTAATCCTGTTCACCGACGAGAGCATGTTTACCGTCGATCCCGTATCAAATTCCAGAACCGACCGGTATATTAGTTCTCTTCCGGTAAAAGACGTGGCCGACTCAATATGGCGCATCATGAAGGCCAAGGCCTGTTCTAAACGCCACCCGAGTACAGCAAGCCTCAGACAAACATTGACCCGTACCTGGAGAGAAATGGATCCAGACTACATTATTAGAACCTGCCGTGCAGAAACATCCCATCTTTGAATAAATAAAAAAAAACTCGAAAACGAAATTTTTGAGATTTTTTTTTTAATTTTTGACATTGCTCAAAATGATTTAATTCCAAAGTGAGAATAAAATTCTAAAGATTATTTTAGCATAATTATTACGCAAATGTGAGAATAATTCTACAGGAATTCTAAGAGCGCTCCAATTGAATTCTGTGGAGAAATTCAGCGGGAGATCGAAGCATGATTCCACAAAAGAAGAGCACAAAACTTGAAGAATTTCTAGGAATATTTACTAGGAATTGTGAGGAGAGTTTTAAGGGAGAAAATTAAAATAATTCTGAAGAGAATTCCAAAAGAGTTCTGGCTAAAATTTCGGGAGAATTTTGATGAGAATTCGATAGAAGTTCTGAGGATAATTCCAAATTGAATTGAAGGTTTATTCCAAAGAAAATCTGAGGAAATTTCCAAAGGGATTCTTAGAAGAGCTTGAAAGGATTTCCATTGAGTATTCTAATGCGATTCTTATGGGGATTTAATAGAAACTAAAGTTGGAATTCCATGAAAATTCTGATGCATATTTTGTCGAATTCCGGAGCAAATTTCAAAAGTAATGTAAGGAAAAAAAATCAAAAGAATACTGAGTAAAATTTTAAAGTAATTATGCTACAATTATTATAAATTCTAAGCGAATCGCAGAGTGAATTTCAAGAGTTAGTTTTCTTTACATAAATTCTATAGCGTTTTGAAGAAAAGTATGTGGGAAATTAACTACTCAGAACTTTCGAAAAAGAATTCTTGAACCATTTTTCGAATTCATATTTGTAAATAGGAACAGGCATTACAGTCGAGGGAATCATTCAGGATGCATGAAATTAAGGACCATCAAAATAAATATTTTGAATTCTATAACTAGGTGGTCCCTGCAATATCGATTTACGGAGCGTTGACTGTATTTCAAATTAAGGTTCATAATTAAATAGTTTCAGTAAATATACCCATTTCATAAGTTATTCGTGATCCTCCATCCTCACTTTCAAGTAAATCGAAGAAGTCGGGTCTGATAGATTCGTCATTTGGATTGAAACTGCTCAATTATTTCCCAAGAAATGTTATTGCTTAGATGTCTTTGAAATTGTAATGGAAATTTTACGTTTTTTCCCGGAATTTTTCGAAATAATTGTATTTTGTTTCAATCGGAGTGGAAGTCGATCGATTTTCTTCCGACTCCACAACCCCTGTCTGAACGAACGGATTCCTTTCTTTTGACTCTTCCCTTGCATGAATACTGATTGCATTGCATATTTTCCTTCCCACCTTACAGAACTCCCGGAAACGTCCTTCACCCGTTCCATCTCGAACCCGGAAGCCGTGATGCGGCGGCGTCGGCAGCAAAAGCTCGAGAAGAAACTGCAGCAATTTCGCTCCCGGGACGGTGGCCCCGACACCGGAGGGACGTTGAAAATCTACGGCGAAAGCCTTTGCCGCGACGTCCCGTACAAAACGCTGCTCCTCTCGATACGGGACTGCGCTCAGGCCGTGGTACGGGAAATGCTGGCCAAGTACGGCATGGACAAGGTGGACCCACTGCACTACTGTCTGGTTCAGGTAGGTTGATCCCGGCAATTATGCAATCAATCAATCAATCAATTAATCAATCAATGGGATGTGGAAGAGGTATTGATGATTTCTTTTGAATTCGCACACAGGTCAACAGCGACGGTTCCGAGTACATCTTGGATGACGACGAGTGTCCGCTGTCGATACTGATGAACCATCCGACGTCGAGAGGTAAGTAACTTAGTTAGGTTGGAATGTAACTTTATTTCGCTAAGAAGATGTTTCCAATGGAAACCGTGGTTTGCTTTTCATGTTTTATGGAAGTGGCGAGGGGGAAGGCGTGGAAAGCTGATGGGACTTTTCTTTGGTCGGTTCCCTAAGCTTTCCGTTGCCATTCGTCGGGGAGAAAGTCTGCTTGTTTATCTAGTGAAGTTATATTCTGTCAAAAACATCGAACTTTCGACCGGCATTATGAATACCGATGACGGCTTTGTGATTCCTGTACCGGCTAGTTAATCGGCTTTCTGGTAGTGTTGGACGTGATTTTTTCCTCGAAGAGGGGTCGATATTATTTATGTTTTCCTAGCAGTGGTGTTTGGGAGCATATTGGGTCAGCATAATAACATTTGCTATCATAACGGAAAATGTGAAACCCTTGTGCTAGGCACATCGTGAACGCTTTAGGGACGTGATGTTTTGATGTGTGAATGAATATCAAAGCTAACATTGGGAGTTGCAAATCGTATACTGACAAATCAATACGTTACATTCGTGTTATCTCCATTCCACAAGTAACGATGGCAGTCCCAAAACAGCAGATGAAATGCAATGTTTCAGTTGGTACGTAATAACTATGAATAACCTTTACTTCCCTGGTGACAGCATTCTGAACTAAACTGTGCACCATCCAATAGTTTGGGCATCTGAACAACTCGGCCAAAGGTAGCAAGTCAGTTCATACCCTGGTGAAGCAATTTTTAACTAAACTGGCCACCAATACAATAGGTCTTATAAAACTGATCAACTTTGTCGAAAACGGCAACCATCCATCTAGAAGAGCTTTCAAGTTAAAGCAAGTAATTATAAGTCAAATCGTATACTCGCCGGGCCTGGTGTGAGAATTTAGAACTGAGTTGCCCACTATACAATAGGTCTTGTTTACAGCAACCTTCTGCTCTCTAGTCGAGATGTCGGCTTAAGCAAGTCATTAGTCGCAAATGGCTCTAGTGGTTAGTGATTTTTTCGAGCGAGATACGATAGGTCTTGTCATTCAGAACTGAAGACAGCAAACTTCTATTTAGTCGTACTGTCAAGTTAAAAAGTTAAGATCTAAAATTACACACTAGTATCACATGGTGAGTGTATTCTGAACTGAGCTGTCCATCATCCAATATCTTATTCATTAGAAAAAAAGTTAAAGGGTTGTGTCCTAGACACGACCGCAGTATGACGTAGAACCACACAAAATTGATGTTTTCATGCATTTTTGACTATTATACTTTATCTTAACATTTTCAAGTATTTCTATGTTTCGGTCACGGTTCACTCAAAACAATTTACAAATTTTTCTTGACAAATATCCATGTGAAATTCCACATGATTTTCATTTGACCACACATAAACAGAATCCACTCAGAAGTACACATGAAATTTATACGTCAAATGAATAGTATGTGTGGTCACAAACACAATATTTGAAATTTTGTTAGTGTTCAATGTTGGCACAAGTATTTTTCCTGGAATGTAATAAATTATGAAAATTCAAATGTGTGGTCCTAAACAAGCCGTTATATATTTTGGCGTAGACACTGTTTCCATTATATGCAATTACATTTTAAAATCAACTCTTTTAATTTCTTTTGTGGCCCTTAAAAGGGCCGTTTGATGTTGTGGGGGATTCTTCCGGTTCGCCTCCTAGCATTGTGCTATAAGGTACCAGGCGATAACCAGGGTAGTTGATCGATAGCTCGATGACGTCATTTCGTTGGCGTCTGCTATGGGAAATTCTCATAGCAGGCGTTGACGATGGGACGTTGTCGAGTTGTTGAATAGCAACCCGGGACGGGACTTGACAATCCAGCTTCTCACTCTTCTTAATGTTTTTGATGAATGCCCGTCGAAAATTAGTACATGGTGTTTGACGGAGTTGACCAATGATGCCAGGATTGCAAACTGATTTTTCTATTTTAATTTTAATTTGATTCGGAGTTTCTACCGCAGTTTAGCACCTTGTCATCATTTTTGCTTAACACAATAAAAACAACCATAAACAAACAATAATATCCATCTCTTAAAACACGCCGTGGACCCTATTTTCCAACTTTCCTTTCGCAAATATAAACTATTAACAACGCCATTGACGTCACCATTGGTTCCGGCATCACTGCCAGTCAGATTGATGCGATCCCTCTATCCTTTTTATTCCACGATTGCTACTGTCAAATCGACCAATCAGCAACTGGCTCGAATTTGATAGCAAATTGGCTCGAAATCGCTACCCGATTGTCAAGTCCCGTCCCAGATAGCAACTATCGTGGTAACTCACCGATTACCTGTCGATCTGCCAAATTTGGAAAGACGTCTGCATTGAATTGTCTCATATAATAATATTCCGCCCACTATATCACAAGAAATTGCGAGTAGCTGAGTGGAATGGAGATAAGTTAAGCATTGGGTACAGGACCAAGTCTCCCCTGGGTGGTGCCAAAAGATGAGCGCAATAGAATCATCAAGTTGCCATAAGGCACGGAATGAGACTATTGCATGGCTGGGTAGTCAAAGTCTTCCATTCGTTAGTCATTTCAGGTGGATTAGAACAGGTTTAGGTTTAGGGTGGGCGTTGGCCAGATTTGGATTTTTCAGATATAATCCTAAATAGGACCTAGATTATTTAATACACTAGTAACCTCAACTTCTGACTAATCAACACTCAATGGGTAAAATATCAAATTTGCGGTAAATTTGAAAAAAGGGAACTTGGAGTGTAGAGTGCACTGCCCACTGGACGATTCTGAAGCCTGACCAAGTGAGTGGGTTACGGGTTTATTTGATTGTACGTCATTTCCAAGTTATATATAGATACATTCATACCATTGGCATTTTGTATTTGAGATAAGACAGAGACAGGATGCGGAGGGCCCGCTTAGGGGGAGCGTAACCCATGTTATGGCTTCCATTTATTAAATAGTTCAGATAGGCTGGAAATGATAGGTTCATGGTGAGAAAATGTACCATATGGTGCCCGTTCACTGATCAAAATTAGATTCAAATCGTCAGGCCCTGCCCTGGAATAAGGGAATTGACGATGATTTGTCAAGTTTCATTTTGCATTTGCATATAATTGTAAGTTTAGGTTTGCTTTTGTAATTGTAAGATAGATAGTTTGCCTCAATTGAAACATTGAGTTAAACATGACGAATCATACCTCTAAAATAGTAGTAGTTACAGTGCCGCATTATCTAACTTTTGTTTTGTTTGTTTACATATAACTAATACTAATACCTCCTTGTTTTCTCTCTAATTTGTCTACTATGTCCCACCATCACGATGAGAGATGAGCTACCGTACATGGTACACGCTCATATACACTCCCAAAATAGTATGCCGCAAGTAAGTATATCACAGAGGCAACTAAAGATCCAGAAACAAAAACCGAAAACGCTGAACGGCAGATTGGTTTACAGTGGTCGACCAGGGTGTGTGCTGATAAATTACAAAATTACAATTACATCATTATTTCATACATCAGCTTGAATTACGTTGATCGATATTACATTTTTTTGCTGTGCACTACACCACCGGAGCCAGCAAAGTTCAACAATCCATCGTTGCTTGTTGCTTATGCCTTTGTTGTCGTTTGGAACCAGTTTTGCGAGGTAGGCGACGATTGTGCGTATTTCTCGCGGAACTTTTGAAAAGGGCCTAGCCTGAACAATACGTAAAGAGCAAATTGAAACATTGTACACGTCGCGTGAAAGTGGAACTTAATGAAGGCCTAAGTACTTTTTCGTAGTTTTTAGTTTTCGGATTTGAAAGATCGTCGGTTACGGTGGCCTGCTTACTGAGCAGAAAAACGCGGTCCCAGTTCCTTACATATTAAAGAGATTTATGGTAAAATCGCTTGTGTATCGTGTATTTTGCGAAACTCGTTGTTGTCGTTGGTTCCGGGTTTGAATGGATACACAAATTTGAGCAACGATATTATGTGATATGAGGGGCTCGGTGGTCTTAGAGCAACCGTTTTTGCATACTGAGCAGAACATAATGAGTCTAATCTCAGGCCCATCCACAATCAAGATTCGTCAATCGTTTTATTTGTTAATATGACTACATGGTAATAACAGCAACTCGGTGATTAAAAAGGTGCTCGTCTGCCTAGTGGCAAACGTTTTTGCTTACTGAGCAGAAGACCGTGGGTTTAGTCCCAAGCTCCTTCGCGTTATATGATCGTTAGGACATCAATTCAGCTTATCGTTTACCAAAACGAACCCTGCTGCAAACCCAACCCTCTTATCCAACATCCCAGTGATTCCTCGTGGAAGTGCAGAGGTGTTCTCGGCTTCCATCAAAGCGAGTGTCATGTCAACACAATCCTTCCCATTCCTTTCTTGACCTGTGTTCGGGCGCGGCCGGCGCTGGTATTGCCTAATTTAAGATCACCAGTTTTTACACATTGAGGATGATTGCTAGTCCCAAGCATCGTCTATTGGTTCTCTGTGTAATTACAGCTGATCTGGCAATAACAGAGTAGCAACCGTGGGCGGTCAATCAAGCTCAAGCTCAAGCTCAAAAGGGCCGTTTGATGTTGTGGTTCCGAAAGAACCGTTGGGTGATGTTGATATTTGTTCCTTCTAAGAGTTCGTGGGCCTAATAGTTTGTCATTTGTTGATTGAAGAAGTTCTTGAGGTATCAAGTATATGCCATGATTAAGTCACACGATGATCTTCTAATCATCGGTTGGATGAAGTTCCGTCCTAGAAGAGTAGTCTAATTAATATTGGTGGAGTTTGGTTTTGTAAAACGCACACAACGCAAATCTTCAGTATTGAAAGTATCGGCCTGTGGTATGAGAAATATGAACAGTATATCTTGCACTCCGCACGAATGTTCCGGATGAATATCAAGTCCAGACACGAACCGCCAAGAGTGGTCGCTTGGGTGGGATCAGTGGCAAGAGTCAATCGAAGGTGCCTCTTCATGAACTCGATGAAACCGGAGTTCTCTGACTTGGA